GAGCCACTCCGTCATAGTCCCAATTTTCAAGGGAGGCTCACGATCGGAATGTGGCAACCATAGAGGAATCAGTCTGATCTCCATCGCCTCCAAATTGCTTGCCTCTCTCATCCTTCACAGACTGACTGGCACTCGTGAAAGCCAGATTCGTGAAGAGCAAGCTGGATTTCGTCGAGGTCGTGGCTGCATTGACCACATCTTCACCTTGCGTCAGTTGTTGGAGCACCGTCACATGTATTGGCGGCCCACCATTGTCGTGTTCCTCGATATCAAAGCTGCATTCGATACGGTGGATAGACATGCACTTTAGGACTGTCTACTCAGGAAAGGTGTGCCTGAGAAATATGTGAATATTATTCGAGCATTATATGCGCGTAGCTCAGGCAGAGTGAGGGCTTACGGCAAGTTGTCGTCGCCTTTTAATATCTCCAGCGGCGTGAGACAAGGATGCCCGCTGTCACCTTTCCTCTTCAACTTCGCTGTTGACAAAGTCATGGAAATCGCATTCACAGGACACGACTTAGAATGTGTGGATCTGCTCCCCGTAGAACGGCTTCTTGACTTGGAGTATGCTGATGAGATTGCCCTAATCTGACAGCTCACAAGCGTGTCAAGCGGCACTGGACAGATTAGCACTAGTTGTCCGTCACTTCGGGTTTTGCTTCGCACCCTCGAATTGCAAAGTGTCCCTCCAAGATTGGTCTGGACCGCCTCCTACGCTGACCCTTGGTGGGGATCAGCTAGAAGTCGTTCAAAAATTCAACTAACTGGGAAGTTGTATCAACGCCCGTGGGATTGAGGATGAGATCACGAACCGTGTAGCAAAAGTTCCAGGCGCTTTTGCTAACCTTCACCACTTATGGCGCCGGCGCGACATCACTCTCGCCCTGAAGGGTAGAGTGTACAATGCAGCGGTACGTTCGACTCTACTGTACGGTTGTGAAACCTGGCCGCTTAAAGCAGCTGACCTGAAGAGGCTAGTTACGTTCGACCACCGGTGCCTTCGCAATTTGGTTCACGTTTGGTGGGAACACCGCTCAGCACCGTCATTTCACGCACCAGGCTCCGATGGCTCGGCCACGTGTTACGCATGCCAGCCCACCGACTCCCTCGACGTGCGGTTTTTGCGCACCGGGGGTGTGGATGGAAGAAGAGGAGAGGTGGCCAAGCGATGACTTGGTCGAGAGGAATGAAGGCCCTCACTTCGAAGCTGGCCTCAGTTGGAGCGTCTAGCCTCCCTGGTTGGGGTCCGAAAGACGATGAACAAGTTTGGCTGCATACACTTGCTGAGATGGTTAGGAGCCGACCTCAGTGGCGTTCGTGCTGTGAGTTTCTTTGTCCCACCCCATCCCTCTTAGCCTCACCTTCCAACCACGATATCATTATTTAGTATTTTATAACTTTGCATAGGAAATTAGTTTTTTTGCTGCAGAGTAGCCGGCAGATAGCTTAGCGAAACGATTATCATCCGTTAACGGTAGCTCAGCTGGCTTGTACCTGTAGCATTTTATGCCCTTCTTTTCTTAGGTGTTGCGGCACAGTAGCTGAGGTGTTTCCCACCTCTAGCTAACGTGTATAGTGAGTGTGTGGGTTGCCACAGAGGAGCATTTTCAGCAACTGCTACGCCACTCGGAAGCAGATGAACTATACAGCCTACGCAAAGAAACAATCCTAAACGGTTGGCTTGACAATAAAGACAAGCTGCCCAAGCAGTTGACCATCTTCAACTTTCGGAACGAACTCGTTAACCAGGACGGAGTAATCAATAAACGTAACCGGATACTGGTTCTCAAGACAGTGCAACGCCCCATGCTGGATCTGCTACACTGCGCTCATCTAGGAGTCAACAACTGTGTGGCGAAAGCTTGAGAACTAATGTTTTGGCCTGGGATGACCAGCCAGATAGGGGATCATGTCTCGAACTGTTTAGCACACGGAACACACGAGGTCCGCTAGCGGAAGGAACCCATGATGCTTTATGAAGTCCCGGAGAGACCGTGGCAGAAAGTCGTTTTGTATATCTTCACGCATGAAGGGAAGAAGTGCGTGATCACAGTCGGTTATTTAAGCGACTATTTTCGAGATAGATGTCCCCACGTTTGCCAGTGCGCAGTCCATGATCAACGTGCCACGATCCCAGTTCGCTTGACATGGAATACCGGAAGAAGTGGCTTCTGACAATGCTCCCAACTCAATAGCGTAGAATTTGGGAAATTCAGCAAAAGGTTGGATTTTCTCCACAGGTTAACCAGTCCGTATCATAACGAATTAAACGGAAAGGTTGAATCAGCCGTCAAAGAAGCAAAGCCAAGGGAAGACGCAAAAACCCTTACCTCACGTTGCTGAAAAGACGGATCATGCCTTCTGCTGAAATGAGAAAAAGTACAGCTCAACATCTGTTCAGCTGTAGAACAACGCAGATACCCGTAGCTCAGGCTCTACTACAGCCAGAAACAACATCGAACTGTCTGCTACAAAAGCGTCTGCATAAGGGAAAGTTGCGGCAAAAGAAATATTATGACCAATGATCAAAACATCTCCCACCCCTGGCGTCTGGGGACGAAGTATGGGTTGAACCGATTCCGGGAGTTGACGGACGCTGGAGCAGGTCTAGGAAGTCATCAGCAGTACGCCGGCACACTGTAACGACGCTTCGCTGCTACGCGACCACCACCGGTCGCGCATGGACTGAATATTTCGCGAGAACGCCCACCCCTACGCGGATACGAACCGGTGACGTAGCGGTTGCAAGCCAGGCGTGGAATCCTTTCGGTCACCGACCGAAGGGGAAGAATTGAAAGGCGTAAGGGGAGAGAACCTAGGAAGTAAGGATCAGGAATAATGTCATTCAACGCAACCGAGTGCAGTTGTGAAGGCAAATGGGTGAAGACACGCGACATCATGCGGAGCAGCCACATCAGCAGAACGTTTCGGCGGACACCGCAGCGCAAGACCGCAAGATCACCCGCAGTGGAAGGCAATATGGAGCGTACGAAATTGAACTACAAAAAAAAACGAAAAAAGGGATGTGGCAAAAGTTGACACGCTTAGCGGTCAATCAGCAGCACAGGCAGGATTTCTTATGATGCAGCCAGAGGTGCTAACTGTGATGGAAGTCGATACGCTTAGCTGGCAGTCACCAGCACAGGCCATCTGTGAGAGTACCAAGCAAACGGAGGATGCAACACTTCGTATGGCGGTTAATACAATAGACAACCATGGGCAGAAGACCGCTGTTTGGGCGAGTGAAAGAACATGTCAGACACAAAGCCAATCAGTATCGCCGGAAGTCAGAATGAGAGCGCCCGTGTCAAGGTCACAGACCGCAGATTATCTGCCTAAGGTCATAGGACAACGGATACAGGAACACCGAGATGACACGTAAAGCCAATCAACACCGCCGTCGAGAACAGGTTGCGGTTAGATGAACGACCCAGAATCGAACAACGTGAACCAATGAATGCAAACGCATGGCCAGCGCGGAAGCCAATGAGACGCGACGCAGAAAATAGTAATATGTAGTATAAAATAAAGCATGGCACACCAATAAAAATTTTCTTGTCGCTGCACAATCAACATCCTGTTTAAGGGAAGGCCGTTCGTTCTACACTCTTCTCATAAATACCCGAGTCGCGCAAAGAACGCCCGACGCGGGAGTCAGTGTTTTGGCACACGCGACACGTGGCCTAGTCATAGGAAACTGGTACGTGACATAACAGTGCTGAGGGGTTCACTCGCTCTTCCTGCGCCAAATACGAGACGCCGAACACACTCTTTGATCAGGTGGTGTTCCCACAGGCATGAACTAAACTGCGAAGGCAGCGATGGTCGACCGTGCTCTACCCCATGCCAAATCAGTAGAGTATGAGCAAGAGCAAACCATAGCAAGATCAAGTAGCGTTTCAAAGTCAAAGTGATCCCCGGGCTCCCGCCACCGGTGACGCGCAATTGTAGTGATCATGTGGCCCCAGTGATCGCGGTGTAGTCGAAAGACTGTGATACTTTCAGAGTACATTGTGCGTATGTGATGGTAGGTTGGACCCGCTGAGTTGCAGCGACTTTAAGATGTAACCCAGTCGGAACTTGTTGGTAGGTGAAGACAGCGTTGATTGCGTTTCTTTGACAATTTCTGTCAATCCCATTCCATTTGAAGGTACAAAGTTAAGTGGAAGTGGACATTTTCGTGACATGGTAAGGCTGTCAGATGTTGACTTGTAACTCAGGAGAATTCTAACTGCGCACGGATGGTGCATGATAAGTAGTACACACAGATAAGTAAAACGCACAGCGAGTAGCCTCATTGGCGGTACGACGAAGAAAATGCACACTACAAGCAATTATTTCAAACTAATCCATGTATTAAGGGAGCTACCCTTGACTGACTGAAACCCAGCTTTCAGTTGTACTGGAGTAAAGGTCGGTACTAGCACAGCGCATGCAACGAAGAAAGGGAAGTCACAAGTTTGCTCTTCATAAAGTCTGACACGAGTTTATTTCGGTTGGAAAACAGAAGGGGGTTACGATAATTCGACAGTCGGTACGACGCAGGCATATTCGGGCAGAATGCACAACCTCGTATTGCGGTCAGAAAATGTATTGCGTTGGTAAGACAATTTGGTGAGTTCCAATTAGATGAAATTTCGCTTGGTGAATGGGTTCGTGCGTAGCCAGCAGAGAATCTGAATACAAGACAGACAGAGTGACTAGTCTGCTAATCCTAAGCGTCCAAGACATATCCGCTCATATGTACAAGGAAAAGAAACACGGACGAGCAGTTAAATGACGATGGGATATGGTTTTGCTTTGGATCTCAAAATAAGTGGAAAAAAGCCACCCTACTTCTCGGCTACAAGTATCCAAGATGAGTGGGTAGCGAAGTGGCGTTAAGTTGTGATTGACAGTCGTAAAGACTAACCGTTACAGTTGTCCAAAGAGGGAAAGAAAGGTGAATAAGATACAGAGGAGAAAGAGGGAATAACGAATCTGGATCGGGAAAAGCTTCAGCTCTCATTGACACAATACACCTTTTCCACAACAACGGCCCAATTTCCTTGCTCGTAGAACGCATTTTCGACACGTAGACACGGGACCTGCTCCACCAACGCCTCCAATTCGCCTTTTGTGAATAGGTGGTAGTAACGAAGAAGTGGAGTTGTACCGTCTGAATGTGGGATAGAAATAGAACGGGGAAGAAAACAACAACAATTGAGGTTTGAATGAACATGAGGGATTTCGCAACGCAGTGCAGCGTGTGTTCTAACAGAAAGGTGAAAACCCGTATGATAGCGTCAGGGCGAGACGCAGGCCACGATGCAGTGGCAAAACCTGGCCAGGATACAGATAGATGGATGGTGGAGACACACTGCCTTCAGAGAGAGGCGAATACAGAAGAAAACAACTGAACTCGCTTGGTGTTTATTTTCTACAAATCTGGTGCGAAACAGCGCAGTACTGAGGATGCCCAGGTAGCCGAATCAAAAGGGGAATATCATTTACATTTCGAGAAACATGGATGGATAGGTAGAATTCATTGCAAGCAAACCGAGCCAGATGGTATTCATATGACGGAAAAGATACCGAAAAGCCGTTTCGTCGTTCGGGACTAACCAATAGCACAGCACAGCACAGCACAGCATATATATATATATATATATATATATATATATATATATATATGGTTGGCGGCATCCGGTTTCGGATTTGCCTGTCACTGTGGCCAGCCACAGGACGCCTGCGGCAACAGAGGGACCATGGATGGCTTGCGCTGCACCACCCACAGCTCCAACCACACACCCCCATATCCAGTGTAAACCCGAAGGAATAAGACCGAGAGGTGATTCGGTGTTGCTCCTCCCAACCCTGAGACCCCATGACCGGTTTCGTCTTCCTTTAGACTCATCAGATGGAGATACCCTGAGCTGGGGTGGACCTCGAGGTATAGTGTTCAAAGGTTGACGCCCTGACCACTATGGCTCCTAGGTCCACGAGCAACGTTTGGCACAGCGAGTACACCAAATGCCACTTGGAACACCGAGAGGCATGTGGATGGGAGCCACATTTCATCAACGGAGCCGGCCCACACTCCTTCACAGGCAAACACAAGCACGCTGTATTTGGGAAATCAAGCGCACACAAGGCGGTGGCTGGACCGTAGTCCGCTCCACACTGAGTGCATGGAACCACTCTTCGAGCCTAGCACGACCACAAGGACCGTGCACCCCGTCCCCTCCAGCAACGACCAACTGTCTCCTGGAGCCAGTATGGATGAGGTAGTGGGTAATAGACAGGTAGGCACCTTGTCAACATGCGCATGAAGCGCAGCCACACCGGGGATATCAAGCAACAGCCAATCACTTGAAATAACATTATCAAAAATGTATATCTGTTAAAGCATACGGCTATGCAGACATAACTCTTCGTTAAATTAGCATATGAAGTTGGTTATCAACAAATAAGCGACAAGTACAAAATGTCCACGACATACTCGAAATACACTACAAACGCAATAAATTTAACGAAAATAAGCGCAATTAGCGTAAGCAACGTGTGCAAGCTAATAGAAGATTATTCAGGTAGGCAGAACAAAGCAAACAAAGTGGAATGAAATGTATCCGGCTTAAAGAGACCTGGTGTGTGAGTTGGTTTAGCCCAACTGTGGTGAAGAAGCATCATGAATGCAACATCAGCCTCAGCATGGGGCATATATATATATATATATATATATATATATATATATATATATATATGGCAGAAGCAGGATCATCATCGGTAGAGTGCTAGTCAGCTGAGTCCATGTGTTTCTAGGTGCACAACCCCTAGGCTAAATGGAAACTCGACATCGCAGTCCTACTCTTGTGGTAAGAAAAGTAAGTATCCGGGGCAAGACTGACGTAGAAGCGGACGTGACTAAGTGACCGATGCCAAGTCCCAAAAGTGTAAAACGACAAATCGATGTTCTTTCGGAGGCTGGAGGCTATATGACTGAATCTAGTTGTGATCAGTTTCGCCTACATCGCCAAAATCTGCATACCACTATTTTGTCAATGATAGAGCTACTATCATACTAACAGAAGTTCATTCGCAATAGATTCCGATGGTAAACTGCAAAACCGGAGGTGGATTCTGGCGGCATTCAGACGCTGGGCCAGTAGTTGCTTCAGTATCCACTACCTAACGTGCACTCATACATGAACCTATTTCACGAACAGGGTTTTGAGAACATGTCACAGTGATGAGCTGATCCTGCGTGGGCGTGAAATGAGACGAGCAAATGAATATCAGACTAGAGACAAGTATTGTCAATGAGCCTAAAGAGAACCGCGAACTAAGGGATACAAGAGAAACCATTCTGAGTACAAGCGATAATAAACGTGCTGAGGCGTTTCCCATAGTCACCTGCGTCATCAATTCCTTGCAGTTCGAACAAATGACCAAGTACAGCTAACGCCGTCTCATTGTACGCATAACACTAAACTGATAATTTCATGAAGAGAACTGTGGCCAGTATAGCTACAGACCAATTCGCATTCGCCAAAGAAAAGCAGCTGATCACTGTTGACTACCAACGGAGAATCAGAGGCTATTTTAACGATACAGTTTCAAGGTGAAGTATGGTTTGATTGGGCATCTGTGGAACATGAACTGTTACGCCTAAACAATGCCGATTTTTCAAGTATGCCTAATGCTGGCAGCATTGGTTCCGGGGAACCAGGGGATGATTAAGGCAACACTTTGCGCTGAATCAGTTCAACGCACCTACCTCCTATCCGGTGCGAATTTGAAAGAACAAGATCAGGAAACGTCCGAATAAAAAACAACTGGTTCCTACTCTCAGATGAAGGTCTATGTGTACACGGTGGAAAGCTAGTAACGATGGGTCATTAAAACAGGACTTTGCGATTTCGGGTCAACTCCTTGTAGTTGTTCGCGGCGACACCGTAGTCCTCAGATCACAAAGAGTTAGGTCTACAATTTCGGAGTCGAGTGACGCAAGCAAGGTGGAATAAAATGGCAGATCCTCGTATGTGTGCATGGCGCTGTCAAACGTCTCGCCAAGAATGGTCGCCGATGAGGACTTGAGCATGATTATCCGAGAGTCAACCGCACGAGACAGCCACTCTGGTAAAAAGGTGAGGTCAGAAAATGGTCTCAAGTGTGCGACTACCAAGTAACTAATCGTGTCGGCTTGGACCATCTTCCGTGACGCTTGGTAAGAACAGAAAAGCAGCTGATAGCAGACACTTCGAGTAAAACAGCTGAATCAGTCAGTTGACAAAAATCACCCGGATGAAAAAACGGTACTCACCTAATACGGTATTATCATCAGCCGGCTTACGCAACTTTTTCTTCCACGACACTAGCATGTCGGTAGCGGAGAACTCAGTTCCAGGCACGTGCACGGGAAGACGAGCATTCTGGACGGGTTCCAACATAGTGGGGGCCTCCGTTGTCTCAATCGGATTTCTAAATGAGTGTGTGCCGTTCTGGGGACGCTGGCGAGATTGTACGTAGTTAGCCAGTCTACCGCTATTGGGGTCTCGTTGTTCCTTAGCCCATACCTGGGCATAAGGAATGACAGGAGAAGGTAAGAAATGAACTTTAGATGAGCTTCCAAGTATATTAGAGACTAAAACAACGCAAACTATTCAGTCAAGAAGGCTCAATAAAATAAGGATACATGAAAGGGCGTAGCGTTCGTAGAAGCTCCCAGAGAGCGTCCGTTCAGCCGTAGCCAAGCTATAGGCCACCAGGCGTGTCCACTCACATGTTTCGCAATGAGATGAATAAGCAGTCGTGGATAATCCAACGGTGGCTCTGGATGGCTTGGTGGGTCTTGGCCTAACAAATGTTCGCCTTTTGGGAAGCCACATAAGAAGAATGAAAGTACCATGACGGGGGTGGGTGTGATTCGCCACTAAATAAGATCATTACAAACTGGAGTGGTGAGTCCCTGTTATGTCCTATAGATGTCCGAAAGGCGTATGAACTAGTTATTTGGTCACAGGCTCCCAACGGTTGCGAGTCTCTCATTACGCCCTGCTGCCTTATGGACTAGGCCTCTTGGCCCAAGAAATGGGATGGAGGCAACCTAAGACAACCTCCTATTTCGAACTAGGTAAACGGATAACGTCTCGCCTACTGGTCAACCATAAAATTGAACCCAACTGCATTTTTCAGGTCTATTGATGGCTTGCTCACCCGCAACTACGATTTCTTTTCAATCAAACACTACACACTTGTCTAATGTTTCCCATCATTGTCTAATAATTCCATTTTGAACAGGGTTGCTTCCTCTGATGAAACTGACTCCGGATAAATCACACAGCGCCTCGACGAGATTAGCAAGCCTTGAACTAAAAAAACAGTTTAACTTGATGGCGTTCAATGTGCGCACTTTAAGGTTGACCGGACAACAACCCAGTCTTGAACGCGCCACAGAAACCTGAAATAGATATTTGCTGCTTGTCTAAAACACGAGTTCAGAATCTCAGCACAGTCTCTAACCCATGGGCACCAATCCACTGCAATGAGGCAAGACTTTATCGTGGTGCGATGGTCTGCGTGCCCCAGTGATCCATTCAGCCGTACTGACTCGCCCATCTTCAGTCACTCATAGTAGATTGGTCAATGGCTAGAGGCCAGACAAACAACCTCCTGGTCCTCTACGTTGCGGGTTGGAGTTGGGGTGACTCACCACTCCTTAAAACGGACTCATTGTAGTTCACTGCTAAACCCGCTGCTTTGAGATCAGGTATTTGAACCAAAGGCTTGGTTGAGAACCCCAATCGCTCCCCCATCTCACCCTGGGCAGTCTGACAGTATCCTGCCCACGCAGTGTAATACAGTGACTCTGATTTCAAACAATTTCTTGATGCTCCGACCCATGCAAAGGATATTCAACGGCGCCCTACCTGCTACATCGAGCGGGGTGGATGTGGGCTTGGATGCTACTGCTCAAGTTTTCCCATCCTGGGATTTCTTTTCCCAGGCTTTTCCCATTATCGTCTCGCTCAAACTTCACTTTTATTCCCCTCCGTCTTAAAAGACCAAAATTTTGGCCCTCCCCCAGCTTGCTTTGATAGGCATCAAGCTTCTAGTTTCAGCTTGCACGTAAACGCAGAGCCCCATCTCTGCTCTGTCTACAAGTCTAGTTCATCGGCTTCTAAGTAGAGCCCTCCATTCTGTCAGATAGGCATGCCACAATGTGTGCACATTGTTGCAGATCGGCCAACTGGCACCACTTGCCCGAACATTAGAGATCGTCTCGATCGATGTCTACTGCTGAAAGGAAACCTACCTGTAAAACTCAAGCTGTGTGCTCAATCTGTGATCTGCTTCAGGTGATACTAGTAGTGCTTTCTCACTGAGCCTATCCCAAGATGACGCAGCTTCGAGTGCCAGCCAAGTACGTGTGGTTATCGCAATGAGTTCCTGAGCTGAAGCAGCGCTGGGAGATTGGATCCCAATCAGTAGCCGAATGTGTGCCGTTCGACTGACTGGCTGGTGCAAAGCTTAGGAGTCCAGAGTGGCTGCGCGCCTACGCGGCCACAAACTGTAGCGCTGACTCGTTGAAAGATGACTTCAATCGCCAAATGAACGAGCTTTTTCGTTAGCATTATTATGCACTACGTACGGACGCTGTTTCACAGAATTAAAACACTGCAGAAGCGCAAAGGGAAGAAGAAAAACACCTATTCAATGCAACTGAGCGCCACGGATAAGCATGCGGCTTCATCTGCAGATATTTAAACAACAAGCCCTGAAACAACGAGCCGATGCCGAATGCAAGCAAGAGGATCACTTTGCCGTATATGAGGAACATATCTGAGATGACGGCTCGATTGTTAAAACAAAATCATGTCATGGTTACCCACAAAGCAATCGCTACTTGGAGAAGAACATCGTCAAACCCAAAGGAAAAACGGAGAAAACAAGAACGAACAAACGACGTGTATAAAATAAATTGCAAGAACTATGAAAAGAACTATGTAGGACAGACAGGAAGGAAATTATCGATCAGGATACAGAAATATCAAAGGGCCTGCAAAAAGCATTAAAACGTCGTCACTGGTCGCAGCGCATATGTATGAAGAGTCGCATAGCGTCAACTGAAACGGAGATTCTGGGTCAAGTGGAGGCAAAAGAAGCAAGAGAAGCTTGGATCTACTCTAATAAGAAGAAGCAAAACCCGAAACTAGATACGCAACGAACAACTCAAGTGCCTGCTTTGGCCGAGGGAAAATCGGCAAATATCATGGGGCACAAGTCGAAGATGTCACATACAAAAGTCGCCTGTCTGTCGATCACGAATAGACGATTCAATAAGTGAGATTGCCCATCGCGCATCACCGCACTGATGTTGCCACCTCGCATAGTGGCGAAACGTATGCGACCATTTAATCAAGCTCGGCGAATCAATCAACAGCTGATCACCATAAAAGTTAAGTGGAGATAGAAAACACTTTAGCTATTATGCCGTAATACATTTGAGACTAAAACAACAGTGGTACGCCAACTGAGCCACCAGTAACTGATAAGCATCGTTCCGGAGAGCTAGCAGCCGGTTATTGTGCCGTAAAAAAGAAGTGATTTACGACTGAGAAATGAGACAGCGATTCAAGGCAGTGGGGCTAAGCGGGAGGGACAAAGAAACTCACAACACAAGCGCCACTGAAGTCGGCTCCTAGTCATGTCAACAAGTGTATCCAGCCAAACGTGTTCATCGTCTTTCGGACCCCAACCAGGGAGTCGAGACGCTCCAACCGAGGGCAAGTTCGAACAAAGGGCCTTCATTCCTCATGACCAAGTCATCGCTTGGCCTCCCCTCCCTTGTTCCATCCACACCCCCGGCGCGCAAACAACGCATGTCGCAGGAGTCGGTGTGCTGGCATGCACGACACCTGGCCCAACGGTCGGAGCCTGGCGCGTGAAATAACCGTGCAGAGCGGTTCACTTTTGCTTCCAATGCCATAAACAAGGCGTCGAACAGGCTCATTGCTCACACAGTGTTCCCACCAGATATGGGTCAAACTGTGAAGGCACCTGTGGTCGAACGTAAGCAGCCTCATTACGTTTGCTGCTCTAATGGGTCAGGTTTCACAATTGTATAGTGGGGTCGAGCGTACGGCTGCCCTGTAAACTCGAACCTTCAGGGAATGATGTCGCTCCTTCGTCACAGGAGAAGCACGGACACTGTGGTGATTGTTGGGAATCGGAACACTCAAGTTGGAAAATTGTCCACTGATAAGTTGCATCTGGGCAGCCAATACGGTGTAAGCTCCTGTAGCGATAACGGTGAGCGGTTACTTCATTCATGTGAAGATACTCGCTTAATTCTTGCGAGCACCAACTTCCGACACAACATCCGCCGGAAGTTGAGATGGTTCTCACCATCCTTGGAGGCATATCAATCACATCGCGATCAGTTACCATCTCATTTCCTTTCTTTCGGCACAACAGCCGGCTGGTAGCTCTCTGGAACGATGCTTATCCGGTATAGTTGGTTAGCTGGCTTGACCCTATTGAGTCTTTGCTTCCTTTCTCACGTAATGCGACACAATAGATAAGGTGTTTATTACCTCTAGCTAACGTACATAGTGATGATGATGTCACCCATTCGTCCGTACACTCGTTGCTTTCTTCGTTTTTCTGCAGGCGGAGAGTTTACCGCATTTGGGCAAGGTGGTGTTGGGATCGCCCTGAGTGCAGAGCCGAAGCCGCACTTCTTGAATGGAATTCAATCAAGTCACCTCAACTTTGTGGGACCTCATCTGGCCCATGGTTTTGAGGATCACAAACCTGCTTTGTGATCTGGAGACGCGGATTCGGGCTTCGGTAGAGGACCGGGTGAACCTCATAGTATCTTAAGCCCACGCGCGATTAGTGATGGCTGCGCAGCAGCGAAGCGTCCATACTGCGTGCGGTGTATTGCTGATGATATCTTATTGGACTTCATGGCTTATGCTAAGTTATATATGGTTGGCGGCATCCGGTTTCGGATTTGCCTGTCACTGTGGCAAGCCACAGGACGCCTGCACCTACAGAGGGTCCATGGGTGGCTTGCGCTACACCACCCACAGCTCCAACCACACACCCCATATCCAGTGCAAACCCGAAGGACCCGAAGACCGGGAGGCATGTGGAAGGGAGCCACGTTTCAACAGCGGAGCCGGCCCACACTCCTTCACAGGCAAACACAAGCACGCTGTATTTGGGGAATCAAGTGCACACAAAGCGGTGACTGGACCGTAGTCCACTCCACACTGAGTGCATGGAACCACTCTTCGAGCCTAGCACGACCACAAGGACCGTGCACCCCGTTCCCTCCAGCAACGACCAACTGTCTCCTGGAGCCAGATGGACGAGGTAGTGGGTAACAGACAGGTAGGCACCTTGTCAACATGCGCATGAAGCGCAGCCACACCTGGGATGTCAAACAACAGCCAATCACTTAAGAGGAAGATAACAAAAAAAATAAATCGAGTAATGCACAGGGAAAAAGTGACATATAACTAAAAGTAATGAGCATATGAAGTAAGTTGTCTACATAGGAATGAGA